TCTTATCTATTCTAATTCTAAACTATGTTGTGTCGAAATTTTAATAATAAAAATTTAGGGATTATTTTATAATATAATATTTTTCGTTAATTTATAATAAAAAAAAAAGAAAGGAGAAAAATAGATGGCAGTATAAATGAGTTGAAAATCCACCGATCCTCTCATTTATACATATATGTTTGATATCAAATTGCGCGCACACGCGCGCGCGCGCACACACACACACACACACACACACACACACACACACACACACACACTCACTCACTCACACACACAAAATCATTACATATATAGTATCTAAATATTAGAGTTTCTAGTTCAACAAATTCTAATTTTCAACAGCGTTGCACATATGGTGAATAGTTAGAATCAAATCATTTTGATATTAATATTATATAATGACGGATGCACTTTAAATGTTAATCTTAATTATATAATAATATTAATTAATGCAAAACTATGGTTTAGTAAAATGCGATAAAAATGTTGATACGTAAGAAAACAGAATAATTTTCCGTGCAAAAATAAGTAAAAAATGTAGAATAACATTTCTTCATAGGTTTTATTTTCGAGAAAATCGATTTTAAGAGATAGAAAATTAATAATAATTTTTAATTTAAATATAATGGAACGATGATTTTTTTCTCTAATTTATAAATATATGCACAGAAAAAAATTGTTATTTAAAAGTGAAAAGAATAAAAGGTAAAAAGTAATAAAAATTAGAAAAAAATACGAAGAAATAGAATAGTATAGATAGAAAATAGAAGAATAGAAGATAGAATAGAAACGTATAGATAGAATATCTATTTTCTACTCTCAATAATATATCGCATTTAAGGTATTGTAACATCAGATGCGTCACGGTATATCAGGTACTATTATCATCTTTCGAAAGAGTTTTGAATTCTAGTTGTTGAGTTGTTTATTTTAGATGTTTATTGATTTTGCTTCAGTGATAAATGTGGAAAAAATTGATGTTAAACCCATATCTTTTAAATGTAATAAATCAAAATAAATTTCCATTTTTCAAAATTCAAAGATAAAAAAAATGTTTTATATCTCAATAAATTCATTGTTTCCTTCTAAATATTGCGTAGAAATAAAAAACTTATTTCCGTAGTTTGAAATCTTTTTCTTTGATTAAACAAAGAGTATATATGTATGAGCTTTCACATTTCGTAACATATACCTAATCTCAATTATTTTAACATAAAATTATGTTTTGGAAATAAATCCTTTAAATAATTTGTACATATTACAAGCGACAAATTTTGTAACGCAATTTAATATTTGTTTATTTTTTTTATTAATTTAATGTAGCACTGTTACTTCTGATTCCTAATGTATGTAATGTAAACGCGACAGTTTATGTAATCTAATTTACCATATAGAACCACGAAAGATGACATTTTACATTTTGGCGCAAGTGAATACGTTGGTGAATATATGTAGTCCAAATATAAATAAAAAATTTTTATGAAAAAGAGAAATATTTGAATTTATAATATTTATACAAAAATCTGATAAATTAATAAAAAATTGGAAAAATTTATAAGCCATTAATACGATTATTATATGCAATTTTTATTTCTTCAGCATATTATTAATTTCCTTGTTCACAGCACAAAAATCTATTTCATATGAAAATTAGGCATAATTTAGAACATATTTGCATGCCTTATTTTCATTGGAATAATTTTAATAATTTTAAAAACAGGAAGATATTACTTCAAGACGTTTCTGTTAGAAATATATTATTTTGCTTTAAACTATTGTATCGTATAAAGCGGTTTGTAGCAACAATTTCCTTCTCTGTGTAAAGTTATCCCAAAGAAGGTGAGGCGGCAAAATATATTTCTTACTTACTCTGGAACGCTTTTAATCAACTAACATAACTCGACACGTGCCAAAGAAGCTATGAAACCTTTTATCGCGAAGTCGTTCACGAAGTGAAAATGCGAAAAGGAAGCAGATGTGTTTAAAGGGTGGCTGAAGGATAACGCAAGGCATAACGGCGAATAAAGGCAAATGCTTTTGTAATTTTACAGCAATCCACGAGAAGAATTGCCAACAATTTTATGTCGATCCTTTCGAAGGGGAAACTCACATCCGACGGTTTACACGTCTGACCTATGCTCTTAGCTACTAAGCGAATACATTAATGCTGGTCGTTTTTTTTTGCCACTAAAGAGCAATTATAAAAACCGCGTTGCCAATGAACAAGCTCTATCGCTCTCCCTTATTCGTGTGGTCTTACATTAGTTTTCCTACCGTCGGGCGGAACGCGTTTTGGTTCTAATTAAACCGTTCATTATATTCGTGGCAATGAGACGGGCATCAATTTTAATGACGATACACAACTCTCGCCACTAACTTAATTATATCAAGACATATTTGCATTTGAACATTGGGTCTTTATAAGCAATTGCATTTTTTAAATGTTCCTACTTTTAATACGAAAAACGTGAAAAATTTATTATAGAGAGAAGTCGATCATTTGATCGTTTAACTTATACATTACATTTATTTCTTTTGGCAATAAAAAAAGTTTCATAAATTATAATATATGTTGCGTAAAACATAAATTCAAAAATGAATTGTGTGACTGGAAGGCAAACACATAATAAAATGGCAAGTTGTTCATGAAATTGCCACTGTTAAAATGTAATCCGCTAATCCTCTAATTTTTAATATTAAATACTTTGTTTTATATTCATAAGTTTATTAAGTTCTCTCGTTCGTAATTTCGCGATTCTCTAAGAGATAAGCATCTTATATTGAAAAGTTTTGTGAGAAATATTAGCACAAGATGTTTAATAATAAAGAGGGACCATTTTCGATCACATACGATTGAATACGAGGTCGAATATGCATAATTCGTTTATATCATGCATGCAGACAATCGCTCTCATCGAAATTTTGTCGTTACCCCGAAAGTTTGCAAAAACAATGTGTTGCATTGACATGATTTTAATATTGAATACTATAGACTAGAGATATATTGCTTTCATTGTTTTATCAGCGCTTTATTGGCGCTGACAGCTATTGTAACGTGTGGCACGTTAATAAGTTTCTCATGCATAATTTATATAATCAATGTGTAATAAGACAAAAAAAAAAAACAAAATGTTTTTCGAAGAATTTATAATAGCTAGTTAAACGAGATTTATTTGACATACGTTTTGAATACGTGTTGAAGACTTGTCATCCATTTAAAGTCAGTTAAAAAATAGAATTATGTTATTTACAATGTTATTATTTTTTAAATTTAATGTAGCTTATATTCTGAATTCAACACTGAATAACTATACAATCGTACATGCGTAAGTAAATTTTTATTAAGGAAAACTCGGAATTTGTCAAGAAATATACTTCTGCTAGATTGTTACATTTTACAATTTGTTTTAAATGTGTAATAAAAATGTATATTTTCTTTGCAATTTCTATATATTTTTCTTCTATAATTGTTATTTAATCTGTTTGACTGATACTCAATCAAGACGATTTTTCTGTTTAAAGTTAAAAATTCTGTTTGTTACTAATATCTCTTAATTAGAGAGTTAATTGAACTTCATTAAAAACATAAACTTTGTCACTCACAAAAGTTACTAAGATCGCTAATACGGCGTCAGTTCTGCCTTCGATGGTATTGGTAGTTGAATTATTACGAGGTCAGGTAGATCGTAAATGGACGGAAATCACCCGGGGCTGACAAAAAGAAATTTCTTTTAGCTTTCGTATCGATCGAACGCGAGTGTGAACAGTGTGACACGCGGCAAATCTGCCTAATGTCTTTGCAGAAAGCGCATTTAATCGTGCAATTTAATAATTATAACTTAAAAATTTAATATTTATTTTTAAAACAATTGCTTTTCTCTTTTCTATACCTGGTTTTTAAAAAAAAGTCTGACAAAATACACATTGTAAGAGCAAACTGTCGAAGAACTGTAAAAGAACTCAAAAAGAAACTTGTGAAAATTAAACATTAAACTATTTATTTTGCAGAATGAGTTACTACTAACTTAAGAAAGAAGAAAAAAGTATTTCTAAAAATACAGAATTAAAACTGTATTGTCACTTGTACTTTAATAAAATATGGTTACAACATATAAGTTCAATGGTAATTCAATAGTTTAATATATCAATGTTAGACTTAATGTTATAATATTATTTTTTGTCGAACATTATATCTCTGACAAAGTAGAAATATTAGATTTGTGAATAAAAACGTAAAAGTAAAAAAAAAAATATAACTCTGAATAATGACTGGTCGTTTTGAGATAAACAGCAACGAAGACAGTCTAAACAACTGCAAATTCGTCCGTCCACGTATTCAGATTTGATTATTTTCCCGATCCAAAATTAACGGCCACCATTTGATCCGCGATACTCCCTAAGAGGGAAATGGTTAAAACGATCTTCGTCATAAGTCGTTAAAATGTTTACGAGCTAAGCTATCAGAGATTTTACACGAGGGATCTTTTTTCGCTTCCGCAAAGAGAGATGCGGCAAAGACTAATATTCCACGATTTTCTGATAATATTTTTTTGCTGCAAAAAATAGTTATTCCATCGTTGAAAAAATTTAGATCGCAAAAATTTTATTCGCGCAATTTTCGCATATTTTGTAGCGCGTGCATTTACGCACGCACACATCTGATTTAACATATGTGACCTACAATATAATATCTAACAAATTATAATAGCGGTAAATTGTGATATTATTGGCTTCAGGTAATTATAATATCATTAGAAATAATCATAATTTCACAATCAATTTGATAGATTAGTTATCGGGCATTCAATATTTAAAGCTCATCACTATTGTATTATTATCGCCATCATTAATGCTTTTAGAACATTTCGAATTACATTAATAAGGTTGTAGTTTCAAAAATAAAACTCTATCGCGTCTGGCTGTAGAAGACGGTAGTAAATGAACTTTTCAGGCTTCCTACATAAAAATCTCATCAACGTTTTCTTTCTATGTTACAGCCGGTACATGCAATTGTCACCGGAAGCTTTGTGATACGGACAACGGGAAAAAGAAGATCGAAACGTAGAGAGAGAGTGATATTCTATTAACGAAATAAAAAAATCCTTTTTCCTCGAGACTGTTTAAACTAGAACGAATAGCGATGTCTTTGTCATATGTGACAAATACCTCGCCGGCCTCTATGTTGATGGAGACAGCGCGATCAACGACGTTCACATTAACGTCAAATTGCACGGAATGCTTCAATGTAACGAACGAATTCAACGAAACGTGGGAAGTACCGTACATACCGTACCGTGAACGACCCGAGACGTATTTCGTGCCGATTATTTTCTTTCTGATCGAGGTGATTGGTCTTACTGGAAATGGTGTACTCGCTCTTACAATTCTTCGACATTCCAGTATGAGAAATGGACCCAATGCATACATTCTGTCGCTGGCGATTGGCGATATACTGGCACGTAACATTTAAATTTCTTTTTACAGAAAATTCTGTGATACAACCTACAAATACCTACGCAAAAACAAGCTTATTCGGAATGCCGTCAAATATTTGCGTTGTTGTAAATATTTATTAAAAGATATATGCTTTAAACAAATTATTTATACACATTTTTGCTACGCTATCTTGCTCATTTTATTCTTTCCGTATTTGTATATGCAAATCTAAAATTTCATAAATGTTTATGTTATATTTATCGACAAATGAGCAATACGGAAGAGACCTTAAAAGTAAATAAGGTCTCTTTTAAGAATACTTTTATAACAAAAGACATTGTATCAATCATATTTAATCTCTTTATCATGAAGATAAAAGATAAAATATTATAAAGTTATATTACAACGTCGCTTTAAACTTTTGACGGATGATGAATCGCTACTGGATCTTTATTTTTCTAAAGACTTTGTTGAAATTGATAAAGTTCCTTTAAAGCAAATGCGCTTTTAGAACGCTTAAAGAGCGCTCCACGCATTTAATAGCGTGAAATGCGATTTATTTGTTTATTTCATTCATTATAAACCTTTTTACATCAATAAAATGAAAATGTTTATATTACGCATAAAATGTTTCTGCAGTTTGATAATTTTATTATTTGATATAAATTGTACTTTGCATGTGTGGCAAACAGTATGTTTATAAAAGATATTAATTTGACTGTCAAACTAATGCATCTCTCTCTCTCTCTCTCTCTCTCTCTCTCTCTCTCTCTCTCGCGAGATACAAGAGCATAATCGATTAGTTTCATTGCCATGCTAGTATGTGTACATTATGTACAATAGTATAAATCCATTAATTTTTGTATCATCGCTTCGTGGCAAATCCTATAAGGATAGCTCAATTCACGCCTCCCAACTTTGCAAATAATTAACGCCTGTACGGTTTTTGGCTTGTATATAATTCTGGAAATTTTAGACAACTTTGATCTTCAATTGTTTCCAAATTACCGCTTTTTTTTATTGCACCGACTATGTGCCCCGCAACAGGTTCAATACCAAATTTTATTTTAACACTTTAACAGATCGTTAGCAATTTTTAATAATAACTAAATAAAAACAAATCTAATTGAGCTTTCAGTTGTAATTATTAAATTAAAGCTTAACACTGTGTGCATTTCTTTTTTGTAATAGATATTTTTGTTCATGTTTGATTATCATAATGTAATTTCTCATTCTCTCTCTCTGTTTTCAGGTTTTATTAATATGTGTCCCGTTCGTCGCTACTATCTATGTCTTTGAATCTTGGTATTTTGGATTAATAATGTGTAAAGCCGCTGATTATGCAAAAGATCTTTCCGTGGGAATATCTGTTTTCGCATTAACTGCTCTCTCAGCAGACAGATATTTCGCCATCGTGGATCCTTGGAAATTTCACGCCACAGGTATATGACTATAGTTTCATAAACTGAGATGATGTAAGAAATTGCATCAAATGTAAAATATCAAATAGAATTCTAAGTGCTACAAAAATGGATTTTATTAATTTTATTCTGCTGATTTTAAATATATTTTAAAATATTAAAAATATTTTTATATTGACGTATATTTTATATAAATAAATAAAACTCGCATTTTAAAATACACTACGCGTCAAAATTAAGGGATAGAAAATTTCGGGTCGATTTTTGGGTGTTTTTTGAGCGGTTGTATCTCCGCGAAAAATAAACGAAAAAAATATTTTAAAAAGGTGTTTTAAAGCTTGAATTTTCTAGTTTCTGAATCTTCGAAGAAAATTCCCGTATCATCATTTTTAACTGAGTTATCCTCCATTGAACGGACCAATCTGGAAATGAAAAAAATTTTCCCAAATTGAGCAACGTGCATGGATCAGAAAAATTTTTTTTGTCAAAAATCGATTCCACGATGTTAAAGCTCGCACAATTCTCAACAATTTGCTTTTTTAGTGAATGCTGTGCGATTTTTTTTGACCGAGTTATTGGCGGTTAAAGCAAAATTGGTACCTTCAACTTTAAATCCGTAGCTCCGGAACAAATTGTCGTACGACATTCACCATGGGCTTTTTGGAAAGTTCTCCCCTATAAGACGCTCTCTTTAGAATTTCGATCTGACATTTTTTTATTTTGATATATCGATTGTAAAAACGTGTTAAAAATCGCATTTTTCTCTTTTTTCATTCATCTGGGCGGCACTTCGTGAAAAATGATTGAAACCCCTTAGTGTCTACGTTTTTTTTTAGTTAAAGGTATGCCCAGTAATCACGCAAAATCCCGAGAGCGCTGGATTTTTCTTTCCTAGTGTTCTGAAGCTCATAAGTTACGTTAACGTACGAAAATGATTAAAAATCCTTTATTTCGCCTCAAAAATGCCAATAACGCAAAAATTCGAAACATTTTCCATCTGATCATTGATCCTTGCTTGGTTATTTCCACGATAAAAAGTCAAATTTCCGATATGATTCTCAATACAATAACACGGCAGATTACCGTCGGCATTAGCGTTACGCTGCTTCATTGTCTGTAGCCCCAATGGACATATTCACGCGCGTACTCGTATCGAACTCATCGATGAAAGGGCGTAAGCATGGATACGCGATAAGCTCGAACGCAAGGCGCCCTCGCGCAATCTGCATCTTATTATGGAGATGAAAACATTGTTGTTTCGAGCGGGATTAGTTCGACGTGCAATTGCGTTCGCCGTCACGAACGGTTCTAGATGCGAGTGCCGTACAAATGATCTGTCCTCTCGGACAGACGTTTGGCGTCTTCGGCCTTGCCCGCTACGATGATGCAGTTCGCCAGTTTGCCGAAAGCGAGCTATAACTCTGCTGACGACAGACTGGCTAACTCCCATCCTGTTGGCGATAATCGTTTGTGAGTGACCTTCGTCCAGAAGCGTCAAGATTCGTGATACGTCGGTATCCGTTAGATAACGCCGTGGCATCTTCGCGAAAACAATACAGTCGAGAAATGAGTTAAAAACTCGCAATGAAAAGCCGTAAGCTCGCCTAAGAAAAAGGTGAAGTGTACATCACCACCGCAGGAGTCCTAGCACGTCTATTGCAAAGATCCGCACGCACGTGCGCGCGCGCGCGAAGTGTAAATCCGATCAGCAACCTCCTCCTTGGTCCGTTTAATGAAGGATAACTCAGTTAAAAATGATGATATGGGAGTTTTCTTCGAAGATTCAGAAACTAAAAAATTCAAGCTTCAAAACGCTTTTTTAAAAATATTTTTTTCGTCCATTTTTCGCAGAGATACAGCCGCTCAAAAAACACCCAAAAATCGATCCAAAATTTTCTATTCCTTAATTTTGACGCGTAGTGTATAATAATAGTACAGCGTGGAGCATGTGATATTTAAATCATTTGTTTATTTGTTTAAGGTAGTAAAAGACGAACAATGCGATTTGCTGCGGCCTTTGTGGGACTCATTTGGTTTTTGGCTATAGTGTGTGCGACTCCCGCTGTTTTCTCATATCTGAGATATTTCAAAGTTAATCGACACATAAGCTTTCATGTAAGTAGGATCATTGTATTCATAACTAGAGTTTTTATTATAGAGAGAAAAACACAACCGATTGGTTTCGATTATTTTTTTGTATTAATTATTATTAAAACATTTAATATTAAGTTCAGTATTAAAATTTAAACAGAAAAAGTTAGTATTACCAAAATAGAAAACAATAAAAAAATGTAGTAACATTAAAATAGATAACGTTCTTTTATAAAGCTTTAAATGTTTTTATATAATGATTTTAATATATTTATATAATTTAAGGTATGCTATCCGTTTCCCGAGGAATTTGGACCGAACTATCCAAAATTGATAGTAATGGGCCGTTTTGTTTTCTACTATATGATACCTCTCTGCACTATCGGCATTTTCAATATATTAATGTCTAGGCACCTCATGCGCAGTACGCGAAATGTACTCGGTCAACTGCGAGGCCAGGTAATTTAAATATTTTAATTATAATGTATGCAAAAGTTAGAATATTTCTATTTTTAATTTTCTCCGTTTCTCCCGTAAAAAAATTTTTTTTATTATTTGCAAGCAATTCAAGATTTACGAGATTATTATAATCTTAAGTTATTATACTTTATAAATTTAATAAACATTATGCACTGTTTGCGCGTCAATGTACATTGTATTTCAGATGAGGCAAATGCAAGCACGGATAAAGTTAGCAAAAATGGTGAAGGCTCTCGTCATCATATTCGCCATTTGTTTTTTGCCTCAACACGTATTCATGCTGTGGTTTTATTTCAACCCAAATTCGCAAAATGATTACAATTATTTTTGGCATTACTTCCGCATATTGGGCTTCTGTCTTGCTTTTATCAACAGTTGCATCAATCCGATCGCTCTTTATTTTATGAGCCAAAATTTTAGAAAGTATTTCAACAGGTAAGTTTAAAAGTTTTTATCACAATTCTATAATGTTATAGTAGAATAAAACGATAAGCGAAAAGTTAATAATATAGCTCCATAAGATCCTAAACTCTAACGGAAAACTTGTCAAGATTTTCTTCTTCAACAAAATTGTATTAGTTTAATTGATTTATTTGATTAATTATGTTCGAATAATTTTGTTAGATACTTGTTCTGTTGCGCTACAAAAAGGGTGCGGAAAACGTGGCACCAATGGTCGTCGGATATAAGCTCTCGCCGATGGCGAAGTTTCTCACGTGTCAATTCGAGAAAGGAACGAGATGGCATGCCCCTTTCTACCATGGTTAGCGATATGCGACCTTCTAATACTCCAATAAAAGAGCAAGAAACTACCCTCACCGCCACATTTAATAAATAATAATAAAGATAATTGCATTCACTCACCGATCGATGCGCAGCAGCGGAGTTGTCGTTTTGTTGATCATCTGCAACACACAAAAATAAATCCAGATTAGAGCCGCATTCAAAATGAATAATATTTGTAAAATAATAATGCGCACATTCAACTTTTTAACTTATTTATCTAAGCAAATATCTAATAAAATATTTATTGAAAAAAGTTTAATTATTTGGAACAATAATGTACGTGTCAAAAATTTCTAATAATCAAATATAAATATTAAATGTTGCAAATATTTCATTGAATATTTTTATTTTACGCATAGCACTTTGCAAATAATAAATAAGAAATGATCACTTACTCTAAAGTTGCTCCGCCGGCGCCTGATGCTCCTCCTGAGCCTCCTCCTCCTCTCATGTCAGTCCTCGCAGTCCTCGCAGTCCTCGCAGTTCTCGCAGTTCTCGCACTTTTCCAAAGCACTCACATCACTCACATCACTCACATCACTCACATGCACTCACACGCACTCACACACGATCGCGATCGCGACACGAATAGTTTTCATGACACTTTTACACTTACACATGAGGTACGCATTGCACGCATTGCACGCGTGCATTTTCGAAGATAAAAACCGCGCGATACTTTAAACCGCATTCCCGACGTCGCCAGTAAAAATAAAAAAGCCCGAAGGCGACGTTACACGCGACGCGAATACGATAATTGCTCGATATTAATGCGCAAAAGCAGAATTGATCTGTAAAATACAAAATCGAGTTTAGATTAGTAATGTGTTAAACATAATTAATATTTTATAAAGAAAAATATTATATGTATTAAATTTTTCAATTATTTCTCATAATATTTAATAAAATACTTATATATTGAGAAAGATCTAATTTTTTAGTAAATATTAAAAATTTGAATTCAACTTGATTAAAATTTGGAAAAATTGAAATTATTTGCGTTGTAAGAAATAAATAATTATTATAATATTAAATTTATAATACTAATTATAATACTAGTAAAATGACCTAAAGCGATTTGCGATATTTAAAGCATTTTACTATCTCGTGTTATAATGTACAAATTGTGTCTAGATATATGTAAAACGTAATTGAGAATAAATAACCGTGAAATCAAAATCTGAATTGCTGAATGCAGACATTAATAACAACGGAAGCTATTAATCGATAGTTATTTAGAAGGATATTAGAAGGATTGTGATTTCAAAGCATAATTACGATAGAAAAATAGGAGTAATAATATTAAAAGGAAACGCGCTACGCGAATGATCTGATCTAGTCGAAGGACAAGGAGCGAATGATAATAAGGTAACAACAAGAAGGCAATATCTAATCTGCCTTACTTAAGTGTCGCCGTACGAATAATAACAACGCAGGAGCAAGGACAAGGTCGCGCCGGGGGATCGAGATACGATTTGGAAAGAGTAGGGGAAAGGAATGTGTGTACCGATACGCGCGCGCGCGAGAAAAAGAGAGGATATATCACGTAGCTAAGTGCGTACAAAAACCACCCCACCAAATCCTTTACATCGCAACTCAACGTTCAAATTCTTTACGACATATTGTTCATATTATAAGATATTCCTTGCATTCAAAATTTTAATTTCAATAAATAGTTTACTATTGTATTTTTCGCCTTCTCTATTATGTATCGTATCTTTAAAATCTTTACCTGTAGATTCGTTAGCATTGTCTAAGATAAAAATTAATTTTACTCTATTAAAATTCCGCGTTTTAAAGCTTTTAAAAAATTTTACTATTTCGTGTTATAACACAAGTAAATAAAATATACAAGTTAATATTATAAAGATAAATAATCTACGGAATAAAAATGCCATAAGACACATCGCTTTGTGCAAACATTACTGTCCACATAATAACTTTCGATAGAATAAATTATTAATTATAAATTAAAATTTCGAATGCAAGGAATATCTTGTAACACGTAAAATATTTCATATTATGTTAAAAGTGACCACTTTCAACGTCGATTAACTTTAATGTAATTAATTTCATTTAATTAAAGTTAATCGACGCGTTTCAAACTTGTCGACAGAATCACTAACATAAAAAATTAAATATCGTCATCGAAAGAAAATAAAATATTAAATTTTTTTTCTTTTAATGACGATATTATTTATGCTAGCAATTTTGTCGACAACTTTTAACGGTTAAAAATAATCGACGTTAAAAATAGTGAAAATAAATGATACAATATAATAAAATGCTCTAAATGTGAGAAAATGCGATCGTATATTATTTTACATACGGAAAACACAGAAAACGTATTAGGTAGTTAGGTATAGTTTAGTTTTTTTAATTTTTATTTTTTAATTCATAAAGTTCTAGAGTTTATTGTTTAGATAAATAATAATAGTAATATAAAAAACAATTATAGAAGTTAAATATCAAAGTTTTTAAAAAATTAACTTTCATATAAGTATATAAAATTTTACACAATTTATACTTTACATAAATTTTTATTATAATTTTTATTTATATTCCTTTGTATTCATATTTTATAAACAACGCATAAGATTGATCAAATATCTTTTGATTTATATATTTATTTATGTAGAATGTAGATCTTCTACATAGTAATATAGAAGTATCTATTCAATAAAAATTCGAAATGTGCGACTGGCAAAACGCAAGAACTATTATAAATCAATATTTTCAAGAAATATGACCAATTAAATGTGTTATTATTAAAACAATTTAATTTTTAAATAACAAATAAATGATAAATACCTCCATATTTATAACATGTTCCTACAGCATCCGGTACTCTTCCTAATTTGCCTGTTCTTCTTCCTCTCGCAATTATAGTTGTTATCTGATACTCTTCTTGAGCGGCCTCCTCATTTTCCTCTCACAATCAGACTGATTGATAGCAGTCATTCGCAAAAATATGTTAATCTGTAAAATACCAAATTCAGATTACAGTTATGCTAAATTTTGTGCATTATTACATTTTCTAAATTTTTTTCAGATATCAATTGTGTTATTAACATAAATTCGTTAACATCGGTCAAATCGCGTATTTTAAAATATTTATTGCATTAACATTTATTGTGAGACAGGTGTGTTTGTACAAAGTAACGTGTTTTGAGCTATTTTATGCCGTGGATATTTATCTTTATATAATTTTGATTCGTATATTTAATCTATCTTAAACAAACATTTTAAGAGAGTGACATGAATATTATTTAGCGCCTAATTTAATTCCAATGAGTTAAATTTTCGACATGCTATATTTAGTAAAAGTAAATATACAGCTCGCATAAAGTGTGTTAATAATATAACAATTTGTACTTATCGAAGTTGTATCGGTGACGGACATTGATAATATCTCTGGATTAAATTTTTGACATGCCACATCTAATGAAAAAAGGCGCCGTACGTTCAGCAGCTTGTTGTGGCAGTGCAATCTGTGGGCACTTGAATTTCATTCGTTTCAGTTACGGTTAATTGCGAACATTCACAGTAAATAATACGTTCTAGTAATCGCGCGTCACTTACATATACATACCTAATGATAATTAATCCTTGTTGTGCATTTTTATCTGGTAAAATAGGCGACTGATCCAGAACGTTCGCGCTCTGTGTCCGACTTGATGCGAGGTAGAAATTGTAATGGCAGCGGATTCAAAATGGATGCCAGTAGATAGCGCAAATAGCATCAATATCGATCATCGATATATCTACACCAGTAAAGTAGGTAGCGTTGTTATCGATCATTGATACATTCAATACTAATCGACTGTTAGGTTAGTTGTTCATTGTGCGTGTCCGCTCGGAGCGCAAAGCGTAAACGCTCCGTGATAAAACGCGTATTTTATCAAGTGCGTAACAATATATGTGCAATGTGAATTTTTGTTAAAGATGCCGAATGAAGTGACGGACGATTGCTGGAATGAATTATTTATCGGGAATATCCGCAAATAACGCCGATTTTATCATCACGAATCATCTAGCGACTACATTATCGACATACAATTACAGCAAGTACAGATTCTTATTTTTGAAGCGTTACGAGTATGCAGCGAATATTCCTCTACACATGTAGCACACGGAAATTTGAATTCGTCGGAATTGCTTCTCACACAGCATTCGTGCGCATTAATTAATTTAACAAATCTCTGTAACAAATTTCTTTTTGAACAATGCAAGGTAAAAGTTGAACAACGCGCGCGCGCGCAATACTATTCTGCAGGTAGAAATGTTTTAGAAATATTTATATGGAACTAAATTAAAAGCCTCAGATTCTAGACCAACTTTGGCGACTGATGAACAGTACCATTTAACAACAGTGAATACTAGCGCGAGAGACAGTAACCTTATTTATTAAATAAAGATAATTTAATACTCACTGAATACGCTATGTAGCTGCAATGTTATAACCCAAATGTTAATCTGTAAATTACAAAATAACATTTAAAATAATTAATAATTCAGAAGATAGTGAATAAAAGTAAATTTTTTAAATTTGCTTTTAAATAAAAATTTATTAAAAAAATAAAATATATTAAAAAGCTGGAATAATTACATTTGATTTGTCGTTTAATATTTGTCTAGAATATGTTCCGAAAAGTAATAAATCGCGCCTATGACTTCATTATGTGAATAGGTAATCTTCGAAAATGCTAAATAGCACGTAGTGAAAAATCAACATATCATTAAATATTCAATATTATCAAAATTAATAATAAATAATACTCGATTGATTTTAATATTAAACACAATATCATTTTTGAATTTTATTTTCTTTATACGTAAAATTATCTATTTATTGAGGAAAAAGACGTAAATTATAATTGCATATTGATATTTGTATATAAAATTTTTGTTTCTGATCCACAAATATAAAAAAAATGTCTCGAACATTAAATAAAATATTTGTAAAGATATAAATTACTGCCAATACATATAAATGTATGCTGCAAAAAAAATTAATTAATCTTTATACACATTATGTGAATAATAAATAGCAATACATATAATAATTTGATATTTGCTGAATTAATTTAAAGTAGTAATTAATATTGCAGTTATTAACAAGCAAAAATTTGCGACAGTAAATAAGTAAAAAGTCACAAATAAACTAAAATTCCAATTATTAATTGC